GGCAGCGGCAGCGCGGGGCCGCCCAGTCTCGGCAGCATGTTGGCGGCGGGGAGCGCGACGGCGGCGAGAGAGCGGGCAGGTGGCACGGCCCTGCCTCCGGTTCTTTCTCCTCCTCCGCCGCGGCAGCCGGGTCCTAAAGGGCCCTGCTTCTCCCCGCCCCCTGCTTTCTCCCCTCCCCCTTTTGGAGACCACCCCCTTCCCCGAACACTCGGGCGCGTTAGCCGCCCCCCTCGGGTTCCTTCCCCGCTCGGTGGGCCCCTGGTCCCCCTAGCCTGTGTCCCGCCACATGTCGTTCTCCCTGGCTCCAGAAGACAAGGATCCCTTGGGGGTTTGGTAGGATCGCGAGGGAGTGGAGAAGAGTGGGTGCCTTTGTCTCCTGTCCTTCGCTCAGTTCCAAAGGACTTCGTCGCGCTCTGTCTCGGTGTTGCAGGCACCGAAGAACTTAAGGCATAGTCTTGACCTTCGGGTAGATTTTAGTCCAACCCTACCGGCCTCCTTCCACCCTGTGGTTTTCATCTACCGCGCTCACTTTGCCGCGCCAATGACTTTGTCACTTTGCTGGGGCAATGACTTTGTCACTGAGTAGGTGCCGATGAGATTCACTTCCTCGAGACCAGGAACAGCCTCTCCTAGTGACCACTACAGTTTCTCAAACCTGTGCGCATGCGGTGACATACAAGTACCAGGACTGAAATTTCTAGACTCTGGGAAGCTTGCTGCCGTCCTTTTCACCTCTTCCTCCCCCCTCGTCTCCCACCAAAATAACCCCTTAGCAAATGGGCCCCCGTGCTCATATCTGTAGCCTTTTGCTGCAGGAAGGATCCCAGAACTCCCTGCTTCAAGGGTCTTGGAGAGGTCAGATCAGCCCTCCAGGTGTGAGAGAGGCCCTGGGTAAGATCATTTATAGCTCTCTCCAGTACTGCAGATGGCCAAGGGGGGGCCTCCCTTCCTTGTTCTGTTTGATTTACTGAGTCATCCATCCAAGTTCCTCCAACCCCCAGCATTCCAGGCCTAAATTATCACCCATTTCTCTAGGTGGCGACCCTAACAAAGACCCTTGTCAGAGAGATTCCCTTAGAGAAGGATGGATGGTTTGGCTGGCCCAGACCAGGTTTAATCCCTCTGTACTTCCTTGCCACTCTCTCCTCATCAACTGGATCCACTCCAGTTCTTTTTAACTTTCAGACTCAGGATCATTTGATTCAGTTCAGCTAATTACTACCTGGCTACCTGACCCTAAAAGTGACCTAGACCATACAGGGAAAGGCCTAATTTTAAGGAAGCAACAATATCATGGGGTAGAGTTTGGTAAGACAAACAAGTGGTTGTCAGAGGCTCTGAAGGGGAGACATATTCAGAAGGGAGGGCTGAAGCGGGTTTCATGGGTGAATCAGAATTAAAGTTTAGAATTCTACCAGGGGCAATAGTGACAGCAAGCGAACCCCCAAGCAGAGGAACCAGCCAGAGCAAGAACACAAAGTTGGGAGAGGAGGAGAGGGAAGGGGAGGGGAGAGGAAACCAAAGGAGAGGACAAGAGTCCAGTCCACTTTGACCAGCAGAATGCTCCATGTGGAGGGGGTTAGGGGAGACTGGCAGGAAATCCAGCTGGCTCTTGTGAGGTTTGGCATCACTTTTTGGGTGGGGGGGGGTACAGTGTCAACGTATATGCAAAGAAAAGAAATAGAGCTGACTTCTGGAAAGCTCTGGAGCTGTGCCTAGCACAGATCTGACAGAGTAAAGGAGGTAGGTTGTGATAGCCTACTGGGAATTGGAGAGGCATTCATTCATTCTTGACTGTTCACCTGGATGCAAGGACTGAAGAACTCAAGTGTGGCTTTCAGATCGCTGGAAAGAGAAATCGCATTGAGTACTTTGTGTTTTGTCAAAACAGCCTCACTTTATCTGCTCATCGCCATGGTTCTTGGCTAAAAGACCAAGAACTTTACAAGGAGGTAGAAGGAAAATGGATCTCAAAAGACAAGGAGGCCAAATGGTCCATCCTTCACTAAGGGAGTCTCTGTGACAAGGGTCTTTGTTAGGGTCGCCACCTGGAGAAATAGGTGATCATTCAGGCCTAGCCAGAAGGATAGGAGGGTGCTGGTCACTTCCCTTTGCTGTGCCGGCCTGGTACCCTCATTTCAGTTGATCATAGCCATTAGCATCTAAATGTCTTCAGAGTAGGGGCAGTATCCAGCATCACAGCATCCAGCATCCAGTAGAAATCTAATGATTTCAACACAAATATGAGCCACATAGGCAATTTAAAATTTTCCAGTAGCCACATGAAAATATAGTAAGTAGGAAAAGAATCCATTTTAATTATATACTTTATTCAACCCAATATATTTAAATTATTAGCGTTTCAATGCATGGTCAACATGAATAATTATAACAATAATCATTATTACAATAATTATCAAGCTTTGATGTGTGTTTTAGGCTTTCAGCACTTTTAGTATGAACCAGCTCAAATTTAAATGCACCAACATGTACATGTAGCCAGAAGCTACCATATTGGTCAGGGCACCATTCTAAAAATAGGGCCTGGTGCCTAGTATTAGACACTCAGTCAGTGAATGAGTGAATGAATGAAAAGGACTGTTTCTAAAATACTCCTGATAACATGCCTGTATTTTCCATCTCCATGGCAATTCCCAGCAGCTGGGAATGAAAAGTTGTGATAGCCTGTTGAGAATGGGAGAGGCATTCATTCATTCTTTATTCATTCATTCCACGACTCCTTTGTCTTTTGAAATCCATTCTTCTTCTACCTCCTTTTAAAGTTCTTGGTCTTTTAGCCAAGAACCATGGCGATGAGCAGGTAAAGTGAGGTTCTCTTGACAAATACAAAGTACTCAATGCGATTTCTCTTTCCAGGGATCTGAAAACCACACTCGAGTCCTTGCACCCGGGTTGACAGTTCTACACACACACACACCAGCCACCAAGAGCCTCATCTTTCTAATCTTTCTCCAGAACACATGAGGGTTCAACCCCAGGATCCCAGGATTCTACTCCTGCCGCTAAGGCAACTGCTGCTGAAGTTGCATTCCCAGAACATCTGCCATCAGATGAAATGCAGAGGCACTGGCCCCAGGCCCCAGACCCCAGGCAGGTAATTGCCAGGCCCAAGATTCCACCATTTGCTCCTTGCCGTAGGCCGGAGCCTACACTGAAGCCTGGCACAAGTGAGCTCAGTTTCTCTGCCCTGTTCTCCCCAGCACTCCACAATTTACATTTCTCTCAATGCTTGTGTATCCTTAGGCCTGAGAGCCTGTCTGGGTCCAACATGAGGACTCCTTGAGAGATGGGGACAGGCTCAAACTAGTTTTCTCCCCTCCCCCTAATCCCTGCCTTTTCTATTTGAAAAGTGTTTCACAAACCCAACCTTCCTGCCCCCATTCTATTATTTACATAGTATTTTTAATGTAAGTCAACTCACTTTTGTCTATTTTACTTAAAGCTATTTTTCAAAGAAACTTTCTATCACAACCATAAGTGGAAAACCAGTATTGACAGCCATGTATAAATAGCAACCATGAAAACAAACACAATAAAACAAAGCAACAGTATTCCATTTGAGCTGAGTACTGTTGCTCAGAGCCCTATGGACTCTCCCTGGCTAACAAAAGAGGACCCCACTGAAGAAAAGCATTAAAGGCCAACCAGACCCACCCTGAGATTTTCACCATTCAGTCATTATTACGAATGGAATTTTTAAAGATATTTTTTATATATTTATGCATACAAGAACTGGGGTACAGGCCAGAGGTAGGGGTGGGGTGGTGAGAGGATTCACTAGAGTCAGAGTGGGGAGCAGAATAGCCAGATCCACTGAAATACACTGCTGAGAGGAGCAGTGGGTGAGACAGGGGAGGTCTGCTGGGCCATCGGGGTCACCTCCCTGGCTGGGGATCGAACTCATGGCGTAGTGGTGGAAGCTAGCTTCATCGGTCTGATACTTTAGCCCCTGTCCCATCAGGGAGGTACAAGAGTGGAATATTTTTGAACAATATATTGAAATGTAATTTATGTGTAAAAAGTATACATATCATGGATTTGATAATGTCCACAAACTGATTATCCCATATAACTAGTATGCAGGGCAGGACGGAGAACATCCGCAGTGCCCAGAAGCCCACCACCACTTATTTCCACCCATGAGGGTCACTTTTTCTGACTTCTTTTTGTCTCTGGTTTCTTTTGCTCAACCTGGTTCTCGTGAAATGCTCCCATATTCCTGCACTCAGCTGCTGGTTCCTCCACCTTGTCAGGCAGTACTCCAGGATGGTCTACACCACCACCATTTCGCTGTTCTTCCGTGGATGGGCATGGGGACGGTTGTCAGGTTTTGGATCCTCTGATCCTAGATGCTATCAACTTCCCAACACATGTCATTAGTTGAGCTTGTTTCTTTGGGGCGTATACTTAGACATGGAAGTTCTGGGTCCTGGATTTTTATAGTACAGTGTACATCTTTAGTCGTTTTTTTTTTTTTTAAGATTTATTTATTTATTCGTACAGAACTGGGGTTAAGGCCAGAGATGCGGAGGGTGAGAGGATTCACCAGAGACAGAGCGGGGAGCAGAACAGGCAGATCGACGAAGTACACTGCTGAGGGGAGCAGCGGGCGAGTCAGGAGAGGTCTGCCACGCCATATGGGTCACCTCCGGGGCAGGCATCTGCGGAATTGGCTTAAGCTTCTTTGTGCTGTGCTTTAACCCTCTGAGCCACCAGGGAGGGCCCATTAGTCGGGTTTTTTTTTAAAGTTGTATTTATTTATGCACACAGAACTGGGGTATGGGCCAGAGGTGTGGCGGGTG